TTCTGATAGTGTAAGTGGGGGAATTAAGCTGTCCAAAAAGGTTTACTGAATTTACATGTTTGGATCCTTTCTTCTTTATATTTTCAAACTTTCTCAATGCATTAAGATTCCTTTAAAAACTATAAAGGAATATACTCTTAGATGCATTGATTATGATGTTTTGGAAGGAGTCCCAGAGCTCAAAGAGAACCGTTCTGTTATACGCTAAAATATTTCCTTAGGAATACTAGAGTTTTTCTAAAGAAGTAGCACATTAAAGACATTTTGAAGGCCATCTATTCCTCAAGAGATTTAGGCATGTGAGACATTAAACATGTTTTGAATTTAGGCATTACTTTGAAACTTTAAAATACTTTCAAGCAAGTTCCGTTGTCTAAAGACCAGTATTTCATACCTCAGTGCTTGGTTTATCAGCCACATTTCCTCCTAGGTTGAAGGTGCTGAGAGATAAGCTCCTCTAAATGCCCACAACCTAAAATACTACCAGTGCTCTGAAATACCAGAGCGTGTGCCCCAGAAGAGAACACCACCTGTGCCTGTGTCACCCTGGCAGACACTGTTGCATTTTGGCATAAAATCCCTCTCCAAAGCAGCCAGGCTCTGTTGGGCAAGCCAGACTGGTGGGGGAGAGCCATCCTGCTTGGCTCTACTGTCATGGAACAGGAATCTTAGCTAGTAGTAAAACTTAAAGCATTCAAAATAAAAAACTATGGGTGTATTTTTCCTTGTTATTTTCTTTTTCTCAAACAATGTGAGAGAAAAAATATTGGTTTTGAAGTCACGCTGTGGGTATATCTTCTTGTTGTGAATCTACACAGTGGCTCCAAGGGCTCAGTAGCTCCAAGAAACTTTTGTTCAAACTTCGAATGCTTTGAGGCCTGGAAAGGCCTGTGGCATAACTTAAATATTCTGTACAAAACATGGTAATTTAAAAAACAATAATAATTTAAAAAAAAAATATATCACAAGAGGACCTTGCTTTAAAATCATGCTGACAACACCCCAATAGCATAAATATTGTGGTTTTATTACTTCCATCCTCAGTTACCTACTACTACTTTGTTGAAACGATTTAGCAAGGCCTCTGCTATCTCACTTTGTAAAATATGTAATATGGAATTCAAATCCAATGTTTACATATAATCAATGCTAAAGTGTAAAAAGCAAAAATCCTAGGCTGACATCAGACACAGTAAACATTTTAGGTTTATGTTGAGTAAATCTTACCACTGCCTTGGTTTGATTTTAATACAAATTAATCAAATTTATTTTAAACTCCTCCTTTCTGAGTTCTGATAAGCTTCCCTGCTCTGACCCACTCCACCCATACCTCATAGCTTTTCCTTCTATACAGAACTTCCTATAGTCCCTATATCCATAAATTTAGGTTATTTATACTGTTTACTTCTGTCACTGAGCCAGGGGAATAAGCACAGTATACTCCTTAGCCACCACAACATTTATAAGCAGGCTGGATGTCCAAATAACCCATTTCCAGTTTGTTATGTTTCCAGAAATAAAAATATTATTTAGCCCAGCCGAAAACTTTTTCATTAAGGTAAGGCATAACTATTTTTCCAAGTTTCAGATGAACTTGAAGGTTATATGATACATTGATTCTTCATAAAAAGTCAGGCACCTCAACATCACCTCAACAACACAAGGGATAATAAATAACTTTAAAAAACCTATTCAACTGGTCAATGTATGGAGTGCAAACATTTTATGGAAAATACATTCTTTCATATATGAATGCTTCAGGGCTGCTTATTAGAAAGTAGTCATGTGGTCTTATTGGAACTAATAGTGACTAAAAAAAGATACAGGTCTGCTTTCAAAGGAGGAAAAAGTGACATAAAGAGACAACTTCCATCCAAAAGAGAAAAAATACCGGACAGGATCTTATAAGTTTATTCCTGACTGATCCAACAGACTAACAATAATCTGGGTTCTTCTCTGTATTTCATAGCTGGGCATCATCCCATAAACACAAGCCCTGTACAGCTTCCTTTTTAATAGTTATGGGGTAAAAATAAATAGATACATTTAAAAGGTTACTTGATCCTGTGAACACAATGCAAGCTGGATATTTCTTAAGATTACTTAACTCACTAAAAGAGTTATAATTTCAGATTTTTTTATTTCTACAAATCTGAGAGGCATCTTAAAAAAATACATAATCAATTTGATTGCTCAGCCATAAATTACTTGAAGTTTTTAGAGAAAAAGGGAAATGAAAGTTTTAGCATGAAGAAACCAGATTGTCACAGCTCACTGAGAAGAAAAATAAAGGACTGTGAACTAGTGGTATTGTAAGAAGCTGTTACAGTTGCTGTTTTAGAAGTACTGAAGACAAAATATCTAAACAAAGGATTTGGGTGAGGGAGAAAAATAAATAAGCTGGTAAATAAATATATAAATAAAAGCAGCTTTGCCAGCTTGTGCTCCTTATCCCCCAAAAAAGACTCAAACCTGTCCATCAAGCCAAGACCACTTTGTATACATTCTTCCTCTGCAGCCTCTCCTTGTACCAGTGTTTTCAGCCAGAAGAGTGAACAAGTGTTACACAACACTGGTTAACTAAAATAAGCAAGTGAGCCGTAAAAGGAACTTCAAATTTGGGAGTATAAGCAGAAGTGAAAAACAGATGGTGAATATGAACTGAAGATACAGAGCAATATCAAGAACATCAGAAATATGGAAATGCAATTGAAACACTTTGAAAAAAAGAAAAGGAAACCCCAGTACAAACACAGCCAAGAATTGGCTGATAATTTTAGCTGAAGAATAGTACAGTGAATTTTTAAATATATTTGATACTTAGGGTTCCACAATTAGACAGTAAGTGTCCCATGGTCATTAAGTTGTGAGGAAAGAAGCAGGATGAAGAAAAACAATGGAGAAGAGAAATATTACAAGACCTCAGCTGAACACCCTTGGTATGTAAGGACAGACTCAGACCAAAGCACATATATATATGTTTACACACAGAGGCACTCAAGAAGAGAGCAAGTCTGGCTATGATGATACGGGATGAGCAGAGAAAACAAACTATTTTGTGAAGAACATTTGCATAGTGAAACAAATATCCAGCTCATCTGTTAATCCAAAAATAGTAATTTAAAAATAACCACTAGACACCCACAATCTATTGTGAGTGTTCTCCAATTTGAAGCATAAATCAAAATAAAATTAAAATAAATAATAATCAGAAATGAGGCATATTAGATCTGTAATATATGCAGGCTTCAGTGGCTTAGCATTTCCTAAGCTTGGATAACAGCGTATTTGTTTACGCACAGTATTATGGAAGAGTCATCTATTGAAGGTCAAATCTAGACAGATGCGCAAGGATTCAGAACAAACAATCAAGAACCCAGCATTTAATGTAACTCTTTCTGCCACAGAAAAGGAAGTTACCTCGGCAGAGATCCTCTTCCACTTTGGTGCAAGATAAGAAACGAACGCCTTTTGTATCACCGCCTTGTAGTGTGTGTGGCTGACATCTGCTGTGCACCACAGCAGTTGTTGGGAGAAGCTAGGAATAAGATTATAATGACCTACTACAGAATTTGAACTATTTGCAAAACACATTGGTATATTTAGTAGGTAAGTGGGGATTTAAGTAAGGGCTATATATAAGACAAATTTTTAGCTTAAAGATGTTTACATATAAGGTACTGTTGTGTTGCAATTACAAGCATATGCTAGGGTTTCATACTCAGAAGTTTTTGTAATAACTTAAAAACAAATAATGAACAAACCTCAAGCTGTTGTGCTACTGAACTTGTGCACAACTCATTAAAGTCTGCTGAGAAGAAACCATTAGCATGCCAGTAAGTAGGCAGTCAAAGTCCAAGGATCATAACCAGGCAGCAGTTAATCAGCCCCTTCAGGGACGAGAAAGTTCAGGAGGCACTAACACCCTCCTGCCCCTGCACACAGATGAGCTCTTTTTGCCTCCTGCTTCACTTCTGTTTGAACGGAAGGTGGAAGACAAGCCTGTCTGAGCGGGCGTACCAGGGGTTTCTGTAGGACTGGCTCTGAGCAGTTTACTGGGAAGCCTGAAGCAAACACAGCCAAGCAAGCAAACACACCAATTTATGTCCCACTCCAGGAAAAAGGTGTTCTCATAAATACAGATCAAGCAGAGAACAGTGCAAGATGCTGACTATCAAGGAGGGAATCACGCAAAAAACCACAACACGACACCAACACGTGCACATGTCAAATTGTCCTTGATTCACTTTCTTGTGGTGGGTGGTGCTGGGGTTTATCTGCAGTAAGAAGAAAGCTGATGTGTCCTTATGAATACACAAATATACCCCACAGGTGTAAGTTTCAATATTCTTCCCCAGGTGGTGCAAAGGAAACATTTTCTTTACCAGCACAGTACCACTATAGCAGGCCTGAGGCAGACCAGGGGATTGCTGACATCTGTCTGGAGTCAGATACCAGAGGCCAGCATGACTTCAGGAGAGCATGCATCTCCTACTGCAAACACACAGCTGTCTTCAAAGCACAACTGGTCAAAGCAGAACTACTCCTCGGGAAAGGGTGCAAACCAGCGAGGCACTTGTAGCAGATATTACTCTTGTTTCTTGATGTGCTACTGAAGGACACTGATACTATGTTTGAGAACAGGTAAAAATATGAGTACAAAGTGGCTGGAAACTTTATCCTTTCAAAGCAGCACGTCTTTTGGCCCTTACTCTCTCTATAGCAACACGAAAAGCAATGGAGCACTTCAGGAAAAGTGATGAGCAGCATACTAACTGACAAGAAAGCAGCCAGTTCCAAGGTGCATACATGTATTCCAATATGCATTCTTGTGCATACAACGTATTATCTACTCCAAAACTGTAGAACCAAGGATCTATGTCAACTTTTACCTAGCTGGAAGGACAAAAACTGTGCAGCAGTTGTAATAGTTCAGTGATGAAGATGGTTTCAACATATCTTTTTCATATGCTCTAGTCACCAAAAAGCAGTTGTTTTACCTCTTAATATTAAGCAATGCCCAAGGTATCCCAGTGGGAGTGTTGAAAGCAGGTAGCAATTTCTCTCCAAGTTCCACTGCCTTTTTTCGGAAAATCTGGAAGTTAAGAAGAAACAAAGTGTTGGAAAATGCATTGCTGCTCCCACCAAATTAATTTCGGTAATACTGTTATTGAGACATAGTGTACATCATCTCAGCACAACAACACATCCCTGGTTTTTTAGTGACGTCAAAAGAACGGAGCAGCACAACCTGTTTTCCATCACACACAGTAACAGGAGAACTCACACAGCAGGATCACGCAGTGATGATGCCCAGATGACTTGTGCCTGGCATGACCAGCATCAAGCCAGAGACATCAGCGTGGTCAGACCTGCTCCGGTTTGCGCAGAGCTGCTGGCGCGCGCCCCGCCGGGCCGCGCCGGGCC